GGGGGAAATGGTGAATCTATTATCGAGAGGCATATAGAGACAGCACCAGAAACCAGTTCTTTGTAAACTACGCAGTCTGTCGACATCAAAGCAAACACGTTCAACATGGTCCCATTTGCCGCTCCACATCCGCTGAGGGCCTGGCAGAAGTTCACAGGGTCCTAATCCCACTCCGGTGCCTGGAAGCAGGGCCTACGTACACGGTAGGTGTGGCAGGGCGCCTAGCCATGCACATTCAACGCCACAGCTGGTGGATGTGAATCTTCCCCAAACCCCACAGTGACTGAAGTTAGCAAAAGGATTTGTGTTGCATGAAGTACACCGAGGGTTGTAATATTTAGACAGCTGCGCTCCTGTCAGTGCAAAAAAAAAGGAAGAGAAATTCTTGAGTTATACACCTAAAATAAGCATTTGTAAGGGACGTTAAGCTTGACAGGTTCTCTGTGGAATTGCTGTATTTTTGATCATTTCCTTTTTCGTGTTCTCCAAGCATCCATTCCTCCTCATTTGGGAATACATTTTCTCTTTCTCTCACCTTTTTTTAAAAGTTGTGATACCTTTTTGTTTTGGTTTTTTTAATATCTTACATTCTGACAATATGTAAGATAAATATAAATACCCCTCCCCACACCGCGTGGTCGTCTGTGGCCCAGACACCTGAGTTTGACAGCCACTGACTCAACCCAGGCTTTCTATGCATCATAAGTGGGGTTTGTATACTGCTCGTCATAAATAGTAGAGAGTACTGATGTTTTGAGGGGACTGGATCACAGGAAGACGATAGCAACATGCGTTTTTAGTCATGTTTACTTTAGGGAAATCCCCGTGAAACGACTAAACCACATCAAACGCACAAGTCTTATCTGCTGTTGTTAGCTTTGGCCCAAAACCTGTGACGCCATAGCAGCATTTGGATATGATCGGGGGCGTGTTGTGAAGCCTGTCAGGGGATTAGACAGTAAGAAGGCTTGACTCACCAAATTCCTGAATCGCCTTGAAATGTGCCAGGTTTGACAACAGCAGTGGAAAGGAAGAGAGAAGGCAAAACGCTTAAGAGGGAAGGCAGCTATTTCTGGCTTGGCAAGTCAAGTTTTCGGCTTGATGATTTAGACAGAGGCCTGTTCGTAGCCTTTATAATGTGTAGTTTGTTTGAGGATGGGGCCCAGTGAGACTTAAATGTCTCCTGTAGGTGAGCAGCTTGTGCTAACTGTGGAGCTGCACAGCATACATTAGGGAGCAACAGGTCTTCTTCCAGTCAGCATGAAATGTCAAGCTCCTCGTATGAGTCCAAGCTGCACAGAAAGTTTGAGACCTCAAGCCTGTTACAGCATCTCATCTTCATAAGTGGTGTGCACGTGGAGGCCAGTACTCTATATATACATACTATATATGTATATTGTGTCAAAAAAGAGGAAAAGATGGTGTCATTGGTGTTTATACTGTATGTAAAACAATAAGTTTGTATATACGTTCCAGCAATGCATTCAGTTGGCAGGTTGCTGTGATCCTTCACGTGCTGCAGACTGCAGAGAATACTGTAAACAATGGAGTCAGAGCTGCATTATGTGATGACAGCACTTCTAAGTTACCACCAGCATCATCTTCACTATTATTGGAAAAAGCCCAAAAAAGTATGTGATCTGAAATATGTTTAAACAGAGGTAAAGGAGCTCCGAGGCGTGGAAGAATATCTGTGCGTCACCCGCGGTTAGTAACTCATCTGACGTTCTCTTACAAAACTGTTGAATTTCAGGTTAACTGTGGTTCTGATATTTTTATATAGTAACTCCAAATGGAAGTGCCATAAAGCAGAACTTTGGTTTACTGCACTGCAGGCAGTTTACTTCTTACCTGAGTACATCTTCATATACTACAGGCCTAGAGCTCAGTGTCTACTAACCAAACAGACAATAACACCCCATTCCTGGAAAAAAACCTACTCATAATAAGCTCTGGATCTATTTAACAACACATAATTGTCCTGTGCTGCTTACTATAAGCACTTGGCATTATTTAAATACAACCACTTTAAGTTCCGGCTTTTCCAGACAGCTTTAGGAAGTGTTTTTTCATGGCATGATTAATCGACACATTCTCACATATGGTCATACACATTCAACCTAATTGCCAGTATTAAATAGCACGAAATAGCTGTAACAGTTAAAATGTTTTACGAAAAAGAGAAATGTATTCCTGCTCGTAGGTTCTCTTGGCTGGCTTCCTCCCCGACACACCCAGTCTCCTCTGTTGCTAATACTCTGCCGCACGATTTGACACAAGTAATGACAGTAATAGGAGCCTAACCTTGAAACTGAGTGGAACAAAGTAACACGGTCCAAATACAAAACTCCTCATTCTGTAAAAGACTGTATGGTGACCGTGTGATTCTATGCCAGTGTCAATAATGCATTGTTCTCTGGCATAGATGAAATCGGAGCAGGCAGGTTAAATGGTGAGGGAGGAGTGGAAGAAAATAAGCGATACCAATTAAAGTCAGAGGCTTCTAATCAGCCGCTGCCGAACAGACATCAATCGGTCAAACTAGAAAACATAGTAATCGTTTACTAGCTTGTTATAAATGATGCGCGGAAATCTTCCGATTTTTACTCAGTCTTCTTCAGTTTCCAAATGTGCATTACAATTCAGTCTGAACAACATTTTCCAATTACTTAAATGGAAAATGACTTCTCACGGCATCTGTCTTTATGCGTTTCCACTGGTTCAGGTTTTGAATCTTTTTTTGAACTGGCTTCCAAGGAGGCCATGATGGTTCCATTTGGAAAGTTACAGATAAGTGTTTGAGATGGCAAATCATTCAGCTTCTCGCTCTGTTCCTTCTTCTTATTGATCTTTCCAGAAAATTAGGTGGTAAAGAGCACATTGTTTCCAATTTGCCCAAATACGCTTTGCCTCAGGACCGACCATATGCCTGTTGGAGGAGAGCAGTTGTAGCAGATGATGTGTTTTGGTTGACCTGTACTGCCAAGTAAAGCAGAGCCTAGCTCCTGTCGACCACACTTGGGAGGAACTCTTTCACTGGATAACGTCATTACCTCTTCCCTTTATTGTTTTTTTAAACCTGGCCTTGTTTGACGATCCAACGTGTACATCTCCGCGTAAGCCTCCAATTAGCTTAAATGTGAGCCATGAGGGACAGTATCTCCAGGTTGTTACAATAAGCAGTTTCATACTGGAGCTTCAGACTGTGAATGTTTCTCATTTACTGCATCACAGGCACTTTGAAGTTTGACACGTTTCTCTTAAAACTAGACGAGCTTCTCCACTCTGCTTAGCGAGGTGTCCTGCCCGTGAACCCTGTCAGGACCACCCTGGCAGCGTGCCTGAGAGGGTCAGACCCAAGGTCCTTTTTACAAGCTGTCATGGGTTTGGTGGTGAAACTGTCCATCAGACTTTTGGGTAACGCACGTGTCAGCCAGTGCTGTCATTACTGATGTCAAATGTTACAAAGAAGACTTCCTCGGTGAGTGTCAGCAACAGGAAGGACGTCTGTTACGACTGCATGTCTGACTGATCAGAGATTTACCCTCGATTCACAGGAAGGTCCTGCTTCAGCTTTAACCCCGGCTGTTCTGCACCAGAACGGTCATTTTTAGCAGAGTATACGTGGCCTTGGCTATCGGAAGAAGCGGCGAGGCGCCTGTTTAAATAGATTTATGGCTCCAGTTCATGGGCGGGGCGATCCGAAGACTGTTATCTGCGATGGAAGAAAATGTCTGACATACTTGGGTCGGCGCCTGCTGCTTTTCCCAGCAAGCAGAAGTTGAATGTATAGTGCTCGCACAGACTGCACAAATGTTTTCTGAATGGTGTGAGGGGAAGTGACCTACAAAGAGCTGCAGCTGCTGCTCTCCTGGACCAGGGGGAAGACTTCTTAGGATACTTTCTTCTGTTGGCTGCAGAATTGATCTTTGATCTGTTGCAAATACGAACAATATGTTATAACAGATTTTAACAAACTGTGTCAGTGTAAAACAGTCTTTTGACGTTGAAAAATACTGTTTGTTATTAAAGAGGAGCAATGATAAAAGTTCAGCACTGGAAGTTGTGGTGTCATTTGATTCTTCCATAACTCTATGCTTTACTTGTGGCGTTAGATTGCTCACTTCATCATCAGGTCCGCTCTGCTCTGGGAGGTTGCACTGGCCGTTGTTGAATTGACCTGGCTGCATATATGTTAACAAAATTGTGTGTTTTTAGTTGATGGCCTGCAGACGCTTTCATTGACAATATCACATTTATGCAACAGCCTCTTCACTCTAAAATACCCTGCTTATGATAAATGTGGTCAGAGGTTTACAGCACATACAGTCACGGTCATTCTTTTTCCAACAGACTCTGCTTGTAAAAATAGGCTGCAATTTTTTAACGAGGTCAGGCCCTTCCACAAGCTTAATGTTGGCCTCATTCACTCATCTGAAGGTGACAGTTTCTTCCAGAGCATAGAAAAGTGGAGACTCATCCAATTAACATGTACTTGCATGCAGTTGTTTGATCGAATGATCTTGGAATCAGCAGTTGTTTAGAAAAAGAGACCTTTTCAACTTGTGCAAGTCATTCATTCTTAGATCTCCTGATATTGGTCCATCCACGTGCTGTCAAACAAATCCCTTTGATGCTTGCTGGCAAAGAGAAACTGCAAATCAATCATGTTCACTAAAAACAGGTTGAGAGGTCTTGGTATTGGTTAAATTAGCTTTGGTTAAATGTTTGAACCTTCAGCACAAGTGCTAAAAAGATTTAAGTGTGTGTGTAGGCCTGTGTACTTTTGACCATGTGGATCAGAGAAAATGAATCCAAACTCAAGCAGTTGTTGTCATTAAAGGTGTACAGTGTACAATTATTCAGATGAGTGCATGTAAACCTCTGAGCACAGCTCTATATTTCATCTTAAACATGGTGCCGTTATATAGAGAGGCACTTTGTTATTGTAGCTTTTTAAATGTCTTTGCTTATTCGATATCTCTCTTTTCTCCTTACAGTGACCGACATCATGTCTCCAGCTCCATCCCAGTGCCCACCAAGTCTCAGCTCGGTGTGTCTGCAGCTTCCGAGCTGGCCTATCCCTGCCACACCAGCTCCCCAGACCGAGGCCTGAGGAACAGAGCAAGTTCAGAGGCTGAAGCAGAGCTTAAATACAAGCCAGCAACCCCTCCACCCAGCTACAATACAGCCATCAGTGAGGGAAAGTCCCAGGTTGGCCTGGCACCGCCTTCGCCGTCACCGTCACCATCACCCACACACCTGTCATCCTCCCTTGATCCAAGCAAGGCCCCACTTGACCTCTCCACGAATACGGAAACCATTGTGGAGGAAGAGCAGAAGGAAGAGAAGCAGGAGGCTAGAGGCACAGCGGTGGAGGCAGAAGGACGTGAAACTGCTGAAGGAGAGAGCGAACGGTATAAGGGGAACAAGAGTGATGAGATGGAGGAGAACCCGTCCAGCAGCTCAATGATACCAAACTCTTCTGCAGTGCAGGACACTGATGAAGAAACGATGCCCGCTGCCCAGCACCCAGGTGCCATGAATGGCTCTTTAGTATTAGAACAGGCGCCCATCAGCCTGATCCCAGAGCTGCGCTGCTCAGTGGAACAAGCTGAGGAGATCATGGGCACAGAGGCCACTGGTTTAGGTCTGGGGATGGGGTTGGGATTAGCAGATGAAGCCCGGCTGGATGACTACCGTTGCATCCCCGTAGACCATGCCGTAGCTGTGGAGTGTGACGAACAAGTGCTGGGAGAGCTGGACATGGCTGGCTTCGAGGAGTTTTCCAGGCGAATCTATGCACTGAATGAGAACATGTCCAGTTTTCGTCGGCCACGCAAGAACTCTGAGAAGTAAGGCTGAGGACCCGAGGAGAGACGAAGGCAGGAAACTTGCACAGATGCTTTTGGAAAAAACGCGAGGCAGGGCATGCGAGACGTGGAGGACGTGTGTGGCGCTCGCTCCTTAACCATAGCATAAAAACATCGTAGGAGCTCTTCTGGAAAAACAACCAATTTGCACTTATTGTAAACATTTCCATAATAAACATTTAAATAAGAAGCAGTTGAAAGTGCAAGTACTGGGACAAGCACTGCTCTTACTGTTCATGCAAACTTTAATATATTTTACAAACAGATTGAAAGCAGTTTTGACCTTTTTAGATTCACAGAAGGATTTAGCCTCAGCTTAAGTAATCCCCCCTCTGTTGTTCCAGTAAACGGGACCATTACAGTAAAATGACGCTCAGTCTTGACCTTGCCTCCTTTTAGATCCACAGCCAGAGTGCAGCTCAGTACCCCCACAGCTCCCTCCTGATCACTCTGCTAGTCTTTTGAATTAGTGCGGTTTTTCCTTTTGAGAGTCGGATGTCCCAGTAATTCCACCTTTGACTGTACAAGCAAATGTTAAAATGCTTCCCGAGCCTTCATTCAGGGTGTATGACAGTGGGCACTTGGAAGTAAGTGTGTGAGTGTGCACACACCTCACATCAGCATGTCATCATAGTCACACAATCACAGTTGGAGTAATCCCACCAGTGACCCCAAGGACACGGCAGTATTCTGCTACCACAGAGCGAGGTGGGAGCTGGAACCCGTAGCCCAGTCAGAGACTCGTTAACTGTGACACGCTGCATCTCCTCGGCTTCGACAGGCTGACCCACTCGTCCTTCTCCTCACGGGCTCGAGTTTCTCCTTCAGGTCTCAAATGAGGATCTTAAGAGTGGCAGGTCGAAGCTTTCAGATCTTGGCAGGGATACGGTGTCTGTTTTTTTTCCTCAGCTTTTACCTTTTAAGTTTATCGTCCCCCATCGGCATAAATTTAACGACATGTCCGCTGATTCTTACATTCAGTAGACCAAAACCTGTCACTGCGTGTCCGTCGTCTGTTGGAGTGTCACTCAGGCTCTCTTCTAACTGTCAACGAGTGTCTCAATCCCACCGTCTGTGATTTAGCGTCTCCCTGCTCACAACGCTTTCTTGCACTGGTATTCAGTTTTTGCATTATTTATGTCTCAGCAACTGTGTGTGTGAAGAAATCAATATTTAGTTTGAATTCACTCATGAATGTTGTCAAATATAGTAGACTGATGTCATAACCAGTATCCGGGTCCAGACTTGGACAGCTGCTTTGCACCGCTGGCCTTGATGAAGATGGACTTTCCACTGGCGGCGCACGTCGTGTTCCCGATGCAGTACCGTGTTTGCTGATTGTTGGGATTTATTGTATTTAAAACTAAAAGGTGAAGCATATAAATCATTTCCATAACCACACAGTTCATTAAGTGACCATGTACATATACTTTTGTATGGAGATTTTTGGGGGCGTTATTAAAGACTTGCGGTCCAATGGCATGGGTGTATGTATCCCATTTAAGAGTCGTCTGTTTGCATTTGTTTGGAATGTTTCCTATCAAAAGTAGAAACGCCAGTAATTCTGTCTCAAGCATCTCATTCACACACAGAAGCATTCACACTTCAATGGAAGTGTTTGGGGAAACTGGAGCCACCAACTTTCCAGTTGCACAACTGCCCTGAGCTAACATGGGAATGCTAAGAGATTCCAAAGATTGTCCATCCATTCAAAATCCCCATGAAGCGATTTGTAATAATCCCTTTGCAGCTGACACCGGACACTAGTGGGCAACAACTGACTGACACCATCTTGGTTTTCCTCGTCCACATCTAAGCACCGAAACTGAGTTTTTGAACGTTTTCCCCTGGAGGTGTTTTTCTCTGCTTTCAGTGACCTCAAACACAGTTCACATGTAGACAAAAGGCCAACATGCACAGCCAAAGCTGTTTACCAAAATACCCGTGTAGGTGCTGACAGTATAATTATTTACCATAACAGCATGTAGAGGTCAGTGGGTTTCCTTCACTCCCACTGCTAGTTGCTTCAGCGTGACAGTAAATTTAAAGGTCTCCACACACGGAGCTCGATGGGTAAAAAATCAACAGAAATTCCCAAATTTTCCAGATGTGACTTTGTTGTGTAATGTACACACAGACCAAGCTTCTTGAGATTTACCAAGAAAACTGCAAAAAAGGGTGTTTTGTATCACAACCACTTTCGTCCATATTTCAGGATGTCGGGGGGCAGTTTGAGCTCTTATTAGCAGAGTTGGAGGCAGAGAAATCATATCAGGGCCGGCTGAGCCAGAGCAGCGTCTGGCTCTGTGTCTCAGGTAAAATAGGATTATTTTACTGTTTGTATGTTCAGTGCCGGTGCGCTTTGTGAGCAACAAGTGGGCTGGCTCATTAGCATGCCAAAAATCCAAAAAAGTAAATGCCATAAATTTGTTCCGTGTAATTATTTGGTGGGAAATGCATTAAGACTGGGCGAGTAACAGAAAACATTTCTACTGCATGAGTTAATATAATAAAAGCCTCAAGTCTCCACCTGCCCGCTTCCATAGATATTCCAATCTGTGTTGATGCATCACTGCTACGTCCTGTGCAGATGCCTCGCAACACCGTAGACATTGAAACTATCATTACTATAACTTTGAGAGACTATTATTTGTCCTTTCGTATCACACTCATCAGACCTGAGGTCGGACAAGAATCCTGGAGCTACGATCAAATGTTCATTTCAATACAAGTCAACCTGACTTATCTTTACCAGCAGGGAGGCAAATCCCTCCCTAGGTGGGCTTTTCCCAAAATTACTGTGGAATCTTCATGCAGTTATTTACACGTTTCGCTGCAGACATGGTGAACTGACCGGCCAGTTTGGCTCTGCAACAGTAAAAGTATTCATTATCAGTAAGCAGCCTAATAATGTGGAGGTTGGGCCTCTTTAATACATCGCATTATGTAGCATGTTGATATGTTTATGGTTAGGACAACACTGCTTCATAATGTAATGACAGGGAAATGAGTTCTTCCTCCTTTAACATGCAAAAGCACATTAACCTGGCAGGTATGGCCTTTTAATCTTTTGCACTTGTCTAGAAAACATCCCACGTGAAATATTTCACATATGGCTGCGTGCCATTTTATCACCTGGTGCTTCTGACTGGTTCTTTAGCTGCACTTTGTATTCCTCGTTAGTTAGTTATTAGTTAGTTATTAATATATTGCTTTCAGGGCCATGGATCATTATTTAAACCTTGTTTTACTCTTGCAGACATCTCAGACGAGCAGCTCATTCTCAAATGGAATTCAACTTTTTTTTCCTTTTAAATTTGAACTACGTCTGCATGGTGATACATGATGACACCACAAAGAAAATGTGATTTTTCAATGATTCACTCGACAAACTTGTATCTATAGATGTAATGTTCTTCTGTGCAAAAGTACACCCATGGCATCAGTAGCTAGTATCGCCACTTTTAGCAGGAGTAATTCCTGGGGTGTACTCTGCCTTTCCCCCTTTCTTTGCTCTGAACAAAAAATGTTTTTTGTAGGTCAAATTTCTGCAAATTATTTCTGATTCTTCTTTTTGCATGAAAGCGTCTGCTCCTGAGCTGATCTTGTGTGACCAGTCCTACATGCACAGCTCATTGAGAGATATTTTTTTCCATTCCATGCCAAACTACAGGCATCCACAGCCTTAACAGCAAAACACAGTTTGTCAGTCATTTTCCAATTGGCTGTGTATTTGAATACATTTAAGTGTACACACACACACACACGGTTGTGCAATGCAGTCAGTGCTTGACGTAAGCCCTTTTGTAATGAAGTAAACCCTTCTGCTTTCCTTTACCTCATTATGCACTTAACTGAGTAAAGTGCAGCCTGTGTGGTGGTATTACCACATCATTTTTGTCCCTGCTTCAGGTAATGTATCAATTTGTTCACATTAAGAGCCGGAAAACAGCAACTTAAAGGCTTTGAAGCAAACTGAGTGCCTTTAATTCACATCTCCCGTAGTTCTTTGAAGCAGATCAATATATTTTCACTTATTACTCATGGAAATTGCTCCTCTTTCAGAAACACCGGCTGGATTGTTCATAGTTGTTGCCGTGTCCTCTCTGTTTGCAGCTTTACATAAACCAGTTTCCTTTTTCTCAGTCCTTTAAGCTTCTTGTGGCCCTATGCAGGCTGTTGGCTCCGGCTGTTGTCAGCAGGCCTCAACACTTCTGGTAATGACACTTCATTGAGGCCGAGACGGGACATTTGTGCCACTATGGAAGGCAGATCTGCAGTGTGCGTGTGCGTGCCTGTGCACAGGTGCATGGGTTTTAGTTTTGAGAGTTTGCAGGTTATTATTGTAGTTTAAAGTTTATGAGAAAAATGAACCGAGGCGCTGAGCATGAGAGTAAGCAGGCCTCGTTCCTCGCTCGCAAGGATGTCCGGATATTTTTGGGCCGAGTGCTCAGCTGAACTACACGGTCTGCTGTGCTGTTCATCTTCACAGGCACCTCACAAAATACACATCAGCCAAACCAGCACTGCTGGTTGTCTAAGCCCCTGTCTCTGGGCTTTACACCCCTGTGTGTGTGTGTGTGTGTGTGTGTGTGTGTGTGTGTGTGTGTGTGTGTGTGTGTGCGTGTGCGTGCCTCCACAGCAGTGTCCTCATTAACTCAGATCATCGATTTAAACAGTCTGGTTAAATTGTCCTGTCTGTCAAATCCTCATGGCCATGCTGTGACTGAGAAGGATCCATCTTAGCAAATATCATGAGCAGGATAAACAGAGCGCACAGGAAGGAGAATAGCTGCAATAAATCAGCAGCTCATTTATACAGCAGCCATATCGTCCGACACACAGTCCCAGGTCAAAGTCATTCACCCTCCCTTTGTCAGTCCTAGGTCTCACTGATACTCTGTATCATTGTCATGACCTGTTTCCCATCACACAGTAGGCTCCGTGTCATTAATCCTGACACACTACACCTCAGACATGATGAGATTTTTCTATATTCGTTTATGGAAAGCTGTGAAAAAGATCGCACATTATGTGGATCAATCCTCTCCTGAGAAGCTAAAAGTTTACATTTCTCAGTTAAATTGTTTATTTTTAAGCAGCGATTCCTCTGAAGAGAAGTTAAATCTACAAGGAATAGTTCAAAATGAAACCATCGTTCATAAGTCATAAATCACACCTTTTTTTAGCTTCATACACTCAGCTGTGCTCGGCCTAGCTGTGGATGATTAATGTTAGCGAGTGTTAGCAAACCTTGTTATGTGACGGGTGTTGATTCAGGTGACCAACACAAACCAGCCTCACAGCACCAAGGTAACTGCTTTCCTACGGCCTTTATAACAATATAAAACATCCTTCTGTCACCTGATGGTTTGGTGAACTTTGCTTAAAACAACGTCAACATACTTTTACTCACATTTTTACGATGTTATTTTAGCATTTTCACATCCAAAAGCTTTAGAGTCTGAAATTTTGGTTGAACAGGGGTGTCAGGTCCATGTTGGAAAACAGGTGATTAAAAAAGTTAAACTAAATAACAACAGCAGTTGCCTCAAGGTGCTTTATATTGTGAACTAAAGGCACTACAATAATACAGAGAAAACTCCCAAAATCAGACAACCTCCTAGTGATGAGCACTTTGTGACAGTGGGGAAAAAACTCTTTTAACACTCGAGCCAAACCAACTTTATGTATAAAGTGCTTTAAAAACAGCAAGTGCTGAGATAGTGCTTAACATAACATAAAAATAAAGTAAAATAACAAGAAGACCCTCCCTGAACCGGAGGGTCAGCCATCTGCTACGACTGCAGTTAATTGTTGTTGATGCATGTCTCTTAATTTTTAGCAGCCTGCATGCGACAGAAATTAAAACAAAAAAGAAAAGAAAGAGAAAATAAGATGCAGCTCACCTGGAACAAACAATCAAACAATAGTTTTGTGAAAAACTAAGAAGTCAAACACGACACAGCAAAACATTCAATTCAGGTTATTTATACAGCTCAAAATCACAACAACAGTCGCCTCAAGGAGCTTTATATTGTAAGGTCGACCCTATTATAGCACATACAGAGAAAAACCCAACAATCATATGACCCCCTATGAGCAAGCACTTTGGCAACAGTGGGAAGGAAAAACTCCCTTTTAACAGGAAGAAACCTCCTGCAGAACCAGGCTCAGGGAGGGGCGGGGCCATCTCTGCGGAGGAAGACGGCGTGGAAGATGAATAACAGATATGATTCAGTGCAGAGAGGTCTGTTAACACATAGGGAGTGAAGAAGAAACACCCAGTGCATCATGGGAATCCCCCAGCAGCCTACACCTTTTGCAGCATAACTAAGGGAGGATTCATGACTCCACGGTTCCTCACAGAGTTACTGGAGGCCAAGATAAGAGTAAGAATCTGGTTAGATACCATATTTCTAAGATTTTCATGGCAGAGTACAATAACATCAGTTTGATCTGAATTCTGTTCTTTGACAACAGAAACTGTCTCATTGTAAATGG